TGCACCAACATCTCAGCGTTATTAGCAAAAACGATGAGTCTTTCTGTAAGAAAGAGTATATTTTAAAATGAAATGGAGATCTTTTTGTCAGAAAGTAACCAACTGTGACTAGTACTAATCAGATATATAGAGATTAGAGGTGCATGTGAAAACATCTAAGTGTTAGTTGCATTGGAAATGAGTTTTTCTATATGGAACAGTATATTTTAATAGTGAAATGAAGATCTTCTTTAAAGGTTAAAACCTCTTTCAATTTTATGTCTTACAATGCTTATACTGAGTTCAGTATTGTATAACTGTATTAATTCAACTGTAAACCCAAAAATTTACAGTCAGTTCTGAAAGAGATGCATCTTAACTCTGGAAATTTTTATTGAATATGTCAATGCTTTTGTAATGAAATGTTTCTTCTAATTAAATAAATAATTTTTAAAAATTCATGTTGAATTTCAACTCTTATGGTTGTAACTGCCTTTTCCAAACCAATTACTATTTCGTTTTTAATTCATTTCTTTCCAAATGCATAAACTACCTGCATCATCCATTCAGACTTGGCTCACAGTCAACTAGGAGGGCAACTATGGCTTAGAGGTTTTATTCCATGCAGAAAGCTTCTGTCGCTCTTTATAATTTTGTTTTAGCACTGGAGAAATGACAGTAAATATCCACATGACAGAAGCTCAGTTTTTACTTTCTTTAAAACTCAGAATCATTCTCCATCCACATTTCTAACTCTGCTCTTAACATTTTTAGCACCAAATCTACAAAAGCTCAGAACACAGATGTGGGCTGGTATAATGCTTCTATACTAGGTTATACTTAAGGAACAGTCATGAAGAAAATTGAGTATACTTTCTCTGATGGCTTATGTGAATTTTCACAAGTATATGAATGCAATTATCATGTAATAATTGATTTCATAAAAAGTCAGATATTTTTTTCCAAAAATAACCAGTCTTCAAAAACAAAACAAAGATATGTGTGTAAGTGCGCTTACACACAAAACTTATTGAATATGTTGAAGCTGTAATGAAATGCTTCTAAAAAAACAAGACAAAACATGTCACATTTCCAGCAGTGCTATTTGGAAGGTTTTCTCAAAACCTTTCTATAAGCTGTTTTTTATTTATTTATAATTATAAAAATGAGCGTCACACTTTAGAAACACGCACAAGAAACCAGAAAAAGCTTCCCCATGTGGACAATAAAGTTAAGCCCACCTTCCTGTTTCACCCAGTGAAAGAATTTGTGAGCAGGGCCTCTAGAGACTGGTTTTGGCCATCTCAGTGTTGCTATCCTGCCCAGCAACAGGAAGCAAAAGAATCCAAGTGTGAAAGTTAGGGAAGGATCACTGCTGCCTAGACAGAAAGCCACCTTCTGCATTGGGCCCAACCAAACAGAATTTTGTGAGTGTAAAGCATAATTCTAAACAAGATTTTAGGGTTGATCCCGTTATTGGAGAAGAAACTTAGTCTCAATCTCAAATATCTTCAGGCACTTCAAAGAGACCAACACTGATTCCTTTATTGATGCCTATCATCAAACAAGTTCTAATAAACTGACTTTTCAAAAGTGGCATTTGTGTTAAAAGGTACATTCTTACTTTTCCCCAGGAGCACTGAATTAGGCAAAGCCTAAGAAAGTGTATTTTAAATATCTCAGTGCATTCTTAATATTGGGTATGTCTGGGAAACACTCTGCTACATAGGAAAGATTTTGGGTTTTGTAGTTGTTTGAATGCAATAAATGTTTGCAAAAATTAAATGGTGCAATTATTTCCCATATTTCCTAATAACTTGAATTAATAAGAATGCTACCATGGACTACTGAGACTGGGCTCCTACTACTTGTACCCCAAGATTATATGGCTAGATTCTTAGCCATTGTAATAGTCTACTTATCTTTCAGGGAAGAGGTTTATTATTTATTTACTTATTTTTATTTGTTGTGTGTGCCTGTGTTTGAGAGAGAACACACATGGGGGTCAGAGGACAAGTTTTTGGGAGTGGTTTTTCTCCTATGTTATTTTGAAGCAGAGTTTCTTGTTCCTGCTGTATTGCACAATTCAGGCTAGCTGGTCCTCAAGGTTCTGGCTTATTTTCCTGTGTCCCCCTGCCATCTCACCCTAGGAACTGCATCTGGATTTCAACCCAGTTCCATTGCTGCCAGTTCTAGCTCCTCAGGAAATAAATTTTTCAGGCTTTTCTGAGCCATGTCTTCATTTGTGTCAAGTGTTTAGGTTATCAGGCACATTCCAGGGACTCAAACTCGTCTCAGGCTAACTTGTGGGTGAAATCTCCTGATCCTAACAAAATTGGCCTTAGAAGCATGTGTCCTTGTTGCAAGCATTTCTGATTTTTCCTTGCCTTATTTGCTAATAATTAACCTCTCCATCTACCTCTGTCTCTGTCTGTCTCTCTCTCTCTGTGTGTGTGTGTGTGAGAGAGAGAGAGAGAAAGAGAGAGAGAGAGAGAGAGAGTTTATTAGTTCTTTCACATCACTGTGGCCATACTTGACAGGAACAACTTAAGGGAGGAAAGACTTACTTGGGTTCATGATTACAGAGGGTTTCTAAATATTAGAGTGGCAGAGGCATGAGGAGCAGCTTAGATTATGGCGCCTGGAGCACGTGGCAGAGGCTGTTCACATGATGGTGCCCAAAGTCAAGACTACAATAGGAGGGACTAGAGAGATGGCTAAGAGCACTGACTGTTCTTGCAGAGGACCCAAGTTCGATTCCCAGCACCCACATGGCAGCTAACAACCGTCCATAACTCCACTTTCAGGGGATCTGATGCCCTCCTCTGACCTTGGTGGGCATTGTACAACATGGGTGCACTTACATTCATGCAGACAATACACTCATATACATAAAATAAAAATAATAAATTAAAAGGATACAATAGAAATTTGAAGCTGGGTATAATCTTCAAAGGCCTACCTCTAGTGACCTACCTTTACCATCTAAATCCTACCTCCCCAAGTTTCCAGAACTTTCCCAAACAACCTCATCAGCTGAAGGCCAAATGTTCCAAATAACCTATAGGAAATAATGCACACTCAAAGGGTATCAGTGATATACAGAGCCCTTTTCCAGATAGCATCTGGATTCTTCTCCACAATTCTGAATTAGGGATCATTATTAGAGGTCAAGTAGCATGCAAGTTGTAAAGCAAGGACTTGAACCCAGGTCCCATAATCTCTCATAGGCCTGTTGTTAACTTAGGCATGATACATTATATAAAGCCCTCTCACATTCACCAGGTGCTTTGTTTTTAATACGGGGTCTCCCTGTAGCCCCAGGTGACCTGTAACTCACTATGTAGACCAGGCTGGCCTCTATCCCACAGAGATCTGTTTGCCTCTGCCTCCCAATGCTGGGATTAAAGGTGTGTGCCACCATACCGGCTTTCACCAGGTATTTTTATTGTAGATATTTCCATAGTAATTTCCCCAGGGAAGCAGGTTGTGTATTGTACTAGTCTTTGAGGGAATGCACAAAGTCTCTGGGTGTCTGTATTGTTATCATCCTTTAGGAAAGAAAAGGATCAGGTTCAACAGTGACATATACTTCCAGTCTCTCAGATATTTCACATCACTTAGGCCTGAGCTGCCTTATGCCATAAAAGTGGACATATCTTTTATTTTAGTTTTTGAGGCAGGGTTCTCATGTAGCCCAAGCTGACCTCAAACTCACTATGTAGCCAAGGCTGGCCTTGAACTCCTGATCCTCTCCCTCACTTCCCAAATGCTAAGATTACAGGTATATGCCACCATGCCTAGCTGAATAGTGAGCATATCTTAACAAGAATCTTCTAAATATCTACATGCCACAAACTTTACTTACCTAGCGAAATGCAAACACTTAGGTTCTGATACATAGCCTGTTACTATTATTTATCCATGTAGCCTGTGAGGTGACTATTATTTTCCTCAGTATACTGATAAGGACTCTGAGAAGTTATGTGCTTCACTTAAAATCACACTGCTACAAGAGAGTTGGGAAAATACCATGAAAAAAATTCTCATCTCTAAATCCTACAGTGAGCACATGGTGGTTCACAAAGGATTATTAAATTTGTTATTATATTACAAAGGATTATTGAATTTATTGAAATAAAAAGGTCCCAAACTCGCACCCATCTCACCTATTAATGAAGTAGCCTTGAGCTTTTGTTTACAGGTCATTACATTAAGGGTTAAGCCATTAGAAAAATATAGGCTAAAGTTTTCCAATGTCTGAAAGACAGAAATAAAAAATGAATGTTAACAACAATGACCAACACTCACTGAGTACTTTCTACTCTTTACCTCTAATTCTTATAGCAGCTCTGTGAGGCATGTGCCTTCTTTTTCATGAAATAGAAAGTGTAAGCATTGGGAGGTTATGTTAAGACCAAAGCAAGCTGGCGAGCCAGACTTAGAACCTAGATGCATTTGTCCAAAGCTCTTGCCCTTTCCAAAATGCCATGCTTACTTCACAGATGTTGTATAAAGGAAAGTGCAAGCCAACAGGAAGATTGAGGGTGGTTTGCCAAGATGTGTGCCAGACGCTGCAGAGACTCTGCAACCAAATAAAGGAGGAGGGAAAAAAGATGTAACCTGAAAGACTGAAGTAAAAGAAGGAGGGCAGACACTGACAGCCACACTGCCCAGTTTCCAGATGCAATTCTGCCCTGCAGCTAACATCATCAGTTCTCCGGCACTCATTTCTTTTCAAAGATTGGTTTGAATGATTAGGGAAGCTGATTCTCTTCCAAACACCAATCTCAGATCATCGTGAAAAAGCTGAATGGTCCAAGATCCGGCTTTCAAAGTCAGAGAAAGTAAGATGCTCTGGAGGCTCCTCCTCAGAGCTGTCACAGGAGTTGAACCCCTTGTGGGATCTCTCCTTCATGCTGAAGCTTCTCCTCAGACAGAGCTTTGCAGGCAGCATGAAATGCTAGTTATCTCCACCACACACTTAATTTCCTAAATTAGTGAGAACTATTGTCTACATCAAGAATTAATGGAGTTCCATTATAGAACAAAATAGAGGAACAGAGATAGAAGTCCTTGGATGGTAAAAACAACAGTTCATATTGTGGTTAGTGACAGCCCACTCAGAGATGCTTTACAGTCCTGTGAAAAAGATTTCCCCATTCCATAAAAACAGTGGCAGTGACAAGAGGCTTTGCCTGAGTCTCAGCAAATCTATCTGCCTTCTTTGAAGTAAGAAGTTCAAGTTCAGAATAAGCTGCTGACCCCAACACCCTAAGGCTCCCTGCCTGGACATGGCCACGCCTGGTATGCTCTCTTTAGATGGCACCATCGCCTGCAGTGCACACGGCTCGCAAGGAAGATACAAAGACTTTATGAAAAAACTCAAAGTTTATTGCAAATTGTATTTTGCTTCCCTTCGCTCTTCATTTTTACAAGATTTATTGATATCCATGATTTTCTCACAGATGTACTTGTTGACTTTGGAGAGTCTCTGTGCAATTTCAGTTTCATCCACAGTTTCTTGTGCTATTCTGTCATACAAACACTCTGGACAGAGAAAAGAAACAAGAAGGCCAAGGATTAATGACGGTTTTGAGAACAAATCTTTTAAGGAGGAGAGGGAGGACATGCCTCCTGTCATACTTCAAAATACCAATTCACATCCTCTTACATGGTTATATTTTAGAAGTCCCACCATAAAGTACAGACATAACTGTACTTGTAAAAACAATGGTAAAACACCCGTGAGCCCACCACCTACGTTAACAGATTCACCTAAGACCCCTGGGCGATACTTTTCCGTCCCCCTCCCTTCTTCCCCACTCCTTTCCCTGCCCATCTTCGTCAGAGCTAACCACTCTCTTGATTTTTTCTTTTCTTGTAATGTTGTCGCATGGACATATACTCTGAAACATTTCTTTTCCTATCTTCAGTCTTTTTATAAATATGCCCATCTTTCTCTGTCTGACTTGCTGATTTTATTCTAAGTGACAGAGTGAGATTTACCTATGATCTAGGTCACTCACTTTCACTGATGAGTAGTGCTGTACTGCATGCCTTTATCTCCCTTTGTTTATACATTTTATTGACCATGGATACTTGATTTTACAATTACAAACAGCCTTGCCCACATCTGAAGGGTATTTACGCAAGAAACTCTCTAGTTATCAGCCTAGGCACGGCAGTGTTGAACATTAGGGTGCGTATATTACATACTCAGCTTTGCTAGGTGATGCCTGGCAATTTGCTTGCCAAAATGTTGTGCTGACTGGCACTTCAAGTAGTAATGTATGCAAGTATTGGTTGCCCTATAACCCCAACAGCACTCATTAGGATTTGACAGCATGGGGGTGTGAAATGGCACCTCATTCTGGTGACTACTAATAAGCTTAGGAAAACTTCTTTTACCGATCCTACTGTTTGCTATGGTGAAGCAGAGCTAGCCCAGACAAGACCTGACTAGAGCCTGATTTTCGGCCCATCCCCAAGCCTAGGGACCTACTACAAATCAATGCCTTGGAATGTCCACTTTTCTGTGGACAACAGACTTTAAAGTAGCTTTTAAAGGGATGTCAAGAAGTGTTTGGGGTAATCCGTTTGTATACCCTTTTTAAACCATGATGTTTATTATACTTGTATGGGATTGCTACAATTATTTTAGGTTTATGCAACTGTTAATTCTCAGAGCCCAATACAATGCTTGACAAAGGCACAAGACTATGCAAATATATGTTAAATGAATGAGTGAGTGAATGAATGAATGAATGCTTTTCCAGGGAAACCTGAGAAGATATAATTCTGCTGTAGGGAGAGAGCTTAGTTGTAAAGTTCTTGCTTTGCAGCATGAGGACATCCCATGAAACCACACAAAACTAGCCAGGCATGGTGGTGCATGCTTGTAATTCCAGGCTGGAGAGGTAGGGGCAGTGGATCCCTGGGGCTCATTGACCAGCCAACCTAGCCTAACTGGGAAGTTCTAGGCCAATAATGAGATCCTGTCTCAAAAAGCAAAGTGGATGGCACAGGCTGAACAACACCCAATGCTGACCTCTGGCCTCCACATGTATAAACACACACACATACACACATACACACACACACACACACACACACACATGCACGCACGCACACATGCATGCAACCACACACAGACACAGATATACATACACATGCATAATTCCGAACATAATTGAACCTGGAGTATGGGTAGGGTGTATAATAATGTGCAAAAATGCAACCTCCTTGAACTTGAGTTTCCTCACTTGTAAAACAGGAGTAGCAATCCAATCTTAAGGAATTGTGATAGAGAATAAGCATGGTCTTGTTTTACTGAGTCAGCCCACAGCAGGATCATAAAAACCAACTTGTGCTAAGCCTTCCATCCAAATGGGAGAAGCCTGAGGCCCGGAGTGAGAGAGGCAGTTCAGGTCAGAATCCATGGCTACTTCCCAACACTCTGCCTTTTTGAGTATGGGGTGGGTCTGCCTCCTCTTGCCAATCCATGCTGCAGGTGCATGTGCTACAAGTGTGCTTTCTCTAGTCCACCTTTTCCTTCCCACCTAGAGGGCCTTTACAAAGGTGCCTTCATTGACCTCCACTGCTTCCTGACCACGCTTGGTTCCCCAGTTCATCTTATTTGCACCTTTCTTAAGGACTAAGCGATAAGAAGGTGAGGGGCTCTGTCTTCTGAGATTCCTTTCCTTTCCAAGCCCCACAAATCAAGTGTCCTTTATCTTCTCTGCCCAGAAGATCCTGGCTTCCTTCTTCATCTTCCTGCATTCTACTCATTCTCTCAGACATGGTCCTCTTGGAATGAGCAAAGTGAGAGATGAGAACACAGTGTTGCTACAGAACTCTACTCCCTGCTTATGTGGAGTTTCTGACAGATGTATGGACTATGATCTAATAAAATCACATCATCCCATTTCAGCAAGTCTGGGATACTGGGTCAGGAGTAAGCCAACATTCTTGGTGACCCTACTAGGACCTAAGCTAAATCAGGAAAACACCTGTGAAGAGATATTCAGACTCAAATGTGCCTCTAACCCCAGATGCTTCAGAGAGGTACCTCCGTGGGATAAGTGTTGCTATCCAGGAAAGTGGGGTGTCAAACTAGATAATCTAAGAAGTTTTGTCTCTAACTCTCCAGTGATCTTCAAGGCAATAACAGCAGGAGAGAGAAGCAGAAGACAGAAGAGTGGGCGTGACGGCCCCCAGAGACAAGGAAAGAGAAGAGCACATGGAGGAATGTGTTCAGAGCCCCTACAGAATTCCAACCATCTTCATTTCCTGGGGTAACAGCTCTGAACGGCCCCTCAGGTTGATTAAAAGGCTTTTGTTAGACTCTAGTTATTAATCACCTGTAGTTGCTGGGAATGTATCCCTCTGCGAGGCAGCATTTGAGGTTACTGCTTAATTAACAAGGTTTATAACAGTACTAATGTGTCCTATTAAAAAAGTTATAAAAATTAACCAGAACGCAATGCTGTGGCTCATTTAGAAAACCCAGACACTCTGCAAAAGGTCATTCAACCTTAATAAGGTTTAACTGTCGTTCTGGAACTTGTCATCAGAGTTAAGGTTTAACTGTCGTTCTGGAGCTTGTCATCAGAGTGAGCCACCCTGTCCTCTGGCTTTCATCTTTCTGCAGCAGGTCAGCATTCTTCCACCCTTCTGCTATCTGGGAAGGAATGATTTTAATATCAAAGAGAAGAGAAAATCCTCTCTACATTGTGAGTGTAAAGGCTCCTGCCACTTTTATACAGCCAATGTGACTAAATGTGATCAAATCATACAAAATAAATGTGAACACTCTCAATCCAGTCAGACAGGTTGCATGGGAAGAACCAATCACTCTGTTAGGTGATTGGTGACTGTTGTTGGGATGGGACACAGAATTAAAACCTGCCAGACTGTAGTAAAAAAGAATACATTAACATTGCATTTCAGCAAGACGAGAAATCTTTGGCAACTGTATGAAGCCTGAAACCCCAGTTCAGCTTGGCTCACTCTCCCTCTCATCAGCTGTGTGGCCTTGGGCAGGTCAATTTCCTTCTCAGCTACCAGCAGGGCACATGTTTCTCGGCTCTAGGTGGCTGTAGATGAGGTTCCTAAGAGGCCTCCGAGCAAAGAGAACTGAGGCAGGTACTGGGTACTCTGGGACGCATGGCTGAAACACCCAGCTGCATTAAGAGGTCAGGGACAGCGTTCTGGAGAATAAAATCCCCAAGCAGATCTGTGGCGATCAGCTATGACCGTTCCAGGCATGAGGAATAACACTTGAAAATCCCTTCAGGTAAGAAAGAATAAGGTTTGTTCAGTTCATTCTGCTATTAAGTTATAGTTAAAGGACAACACTACTAAAAACCAAAGCCAGTGAAATAACCAGTGGCCAGAATGTGAAGGCACTTGTATGACAGGCTGAGAAGCTTACCCTCTAATCATGAGTACTCTGAACTGGCTGTGGCAGGGTGTTATTAAGAGGACCCTATCTGGTTTCTGAACGATCATTCTGGTTATACATTGGGGAGAAGGGTCTGGAGGCTGCCAGAATAGAGTAGGGAAGAAAGCAAGTGGCTGGCCTGGACTAGGAGAGGGCAGTGAGTATGGAAGGACAAAGGGGAGTTAAGAGGTATTTGGAGGCAGGAAGGATAGAGAGGGAGGTTTGTGGGGAGAGGTAAAGGTGGGGTCTGGGTTCCTATGTGGCTGGACCATTCACCAAGAGAAGGGACACGGAAGGGGCAGAAGGCTGAGTGGAGAAGGTAATGCTGCTTATGCACTTACTATATGCTAGCTCTGAACAAGATGCTCATAAAGCTTAGCTTCTAATGGAGACAAGGGATAAAGACAACCATCAAAATGTAAGAAATGCTATGCAGACGCTTTAAGCAGGGCCATGTGATGGGGAGCAGTGAAGGGCTACCTGAGGGGGACTGGATATGCCCCTCTGAATAACAAGGAAGCAGGGTTAGAAGATCAGGAGGGAGGGTCCTGACGGCAGCAGGAACAGGGCCGAGCTGACTAGTGCCCTGTAGGAAATATGGTTCAAGATGAGACCGCAGGAGCCACTGGAGCCCCAAGAGCAGGCAGCAATGGGAAGCCATGGAAGGTAAAATCAACTGAGCAAAGTACGGCAGAGAGAGAGAAGATGGTTAGAGACAGGTGAAGAAGAGAAGGCCACTCAGACGACTGAGGGGCCAGTGGGGAAGGAATCACGCATGCTGCATCACACCTTTACTCTGTGAAGGAAGAGACAAGGCCATCATCTGAAAGATTCTTTTTCACATTTCGAGAAAGGAGAGGTTTAAAAAGAGGTTGGAAAATGGGGAGTAGATCAGGGAACTTGTCTCCCAGCTACAGAGTTGAGGCATGTCTTCTAGGGTGGTTCATTGCTACAGTGCGGGCAGCTCTGACCTTCCCAACAGGTATACTTTCAGAGGAGCATGGTGACTCACCCCAGCAATCCCAGTCCCTGGGAGGATGAGGCAGGAGGATGGCTCTGAGCTTCAGTCCAGCCTGGAGTATAGAGTAGGACCCTGCCTCATAACAAAAACAAAAACAAAGTAAAACACCTATGTTTTTAGCCTAGGAAACAAAACACAAGGGAAAGCGATTTAGTAAAAGGCTAAAGATTAATATGATCTGAAGAGAAACCAGAGTAAGAGGGGAAGCGACTGAGAAAAGCCACACCTAGCATAGGACAGGGTCGGTTCCAAGGTCTCAGGGTTTCACTTGCCTAACCTTTTTTGGTACCAGGGACTGCACTGTGAAATGGACATGTGGGAAGTGTTGCTAGTCTCTAGTTGCTGAGGCAGCCACATAGCACATAATTTCATAGCAAAACGTGACAATGGTTGTGGTAGCCAGTTATCTGAAGGTACCTGGGACCTGCTGAGTCACACGCTGACAAGGTAACAGACTTGGAGGTGGGCCACCTATCAGGCCAGGCAGGGCTGACTTCCCAGGGAGGCCTTTCTTGGGGTGACCTCCAGAATCAAGCTGCACCACTTCGGACAGCAGTCAGACTAAAGGTTACTTCTCATTACCTAAAAATAAATGGCTGCCGATACCATTTAATCACCAGCCAGCCAGGCAGGGAGACACCTGTTATACAACAGTAAGCCCAAGACTTGAGGGAGGGTGTGTGGGTTTGAATCCAGTTTCTGAGACCTTACAGCTGTGACCTTAGCCTGGTTTCATAGACACTGTCCTGCCACTTCAACCTCTAGAATATGTAGTATATTTGGCCATCCTGCTCTACTTCCCCTGTTCTACCCTTCCTCTGTGATAATGCTGGCTCTCCTTGATCTTCCCTGGGATCATCCCTCCAGCAGAAGGTCCCCAGAACCTCTGCAATGAGAAGAGTAAACCCAAGCTGTTCACTATGGCTTTTCTGTCCCCGTAAGACTGTCTCTCACCCACGCCCCTGACCTTGCCCTCAACTGTACCCACTTCTCCCCTTGAGTGGCTTCACCTGGTGTATGCTGGTCTTTGCACTGAAGTTTTATTCTGCCGGACCCACTGCTCCTCAGGGCCTTGACAGGCCATCTCTTCTGAGTGCAGCACTTAGGTGAAATGTCATTATCTTCAACAAGCCTCTTTCCCCAACATAGCTAATGCAGTTCTTTGTATGATCTCATCATATATGAAACTCACAGAACCAGAAACTGTCTGACTCAGACTCATTCACACACATATTTGCCACCTGGCTCCAGAACTTGTGCAAAGTGTAGGACCTCACAAAATATACACGCCACCTGGCCGGGTCTCAATTTCCTCACAAAAATATGGCAGACCTGAATATTCAGAGAACATTGGTTGGGTGCAGACTACAAAGCCAGCCTTGAGCTCCCAGCTCTTCCACTGCTAACTATTGTAACCTGGGCAAAAGCACCTACTACCCTGCGGCTAAGTCTCCTTGTCTGTGAAAAGCCAACATTAGGATTACTGATACAATAGTAATGAGTTAATACACGTAAAGTGCTTAAGACAAACTCATTTAAGAATAAAAGACTGGCACTGTAAATGCTCAAAATAATTAGCAGCTACTATATTCACTCTGTTCCTAACACACTCTTTACTTTGTATTACCTGTATGGCAACTTTTTTTTTAAATTTATTTTCACCTTGAGACTATTCTTTGTAGATATACACTGTGTCTTGTCCTTTGTGTCCTCAAACCCCAGCATAGTGCCTAGCAAAAAGTGCAGAGTGAATAGATGGACAGAGGGAAAGGAATGCGAGAAGGTAAAGAAAAGAAGGAGAGAAAGAAGGAAGGGAGGGAAGAAGGGAGGTAGAGAGGAGGAGGAAAGATGGGTCAATGAGTCTGGGCTATAGCTCTATCTCTGGAAGACCAACAACTCCCTGACTTTGCTTGCCTTCCAAAACAGCACAAAGGAAGCTGCATTCACTGACTGTCAACTGGTCCTCATCTCATTAACTACTCTAGACACAAAGCTAGAAGCAGCAGCTTTCCCAGCCTGGATCTTTACTGCTCTCTATACAAACATCCCGTTGCCATCATGCCTCTGTTGGAGACGCTTCTGCCCCCTGAAGTACCCCTCTTTCCACACACACCTGTACCTCAAGCTGATGCATTCTTGAAGACTCTGTTGAGTCACCCATTTCTCTGGGATTCTTCTTGTCCTTCCAGCTAAGGGGACCTTCCCCTCCTGAGAATGGCCCAGCATGTCTCCCTCTCATGCTACATCCCTGAGTTGTATTTATGTCCACACATATTTGCCCTGATCAGTGTTAGCTCTCTGGTGACATCAAGGACATCTGCCTGTTTCTGTGTCCCACTCAGGACCTGATGTGTGGAGTGTCATCAGTAGTGCACACTGAAAGTGAATCATGCTTAACGTACTTCCTGACAGCGTGAGGGACCAAGTGTCAGTCACTGTGGTTCCACTCAGTGACCTACCTCTGACGATGCTAAGTTTGTGAGGAGAAAGGGGTGGCTTCGGGACTGCATCCTTCTTTTTTTTTGTGGCGACTCCTGTAACGCTTCTGTTTTTCAGAACGTCTGTTCCCCAAATCATGACTGCCAAGTTCTTTGTGTACTTGGAATCTCCTTGGGTCACTTGTAGCTGGTGCCATTTCTCCTCATCAACCCAAATCCCGCTTCCCAGATGGACCTGAAGGGGATAAGAATGTCACACCTGTTTAGTCGACAGGAAGGTCACTAGATGCTGCTTTTGCCCTTTAAAGTGCTGCTGCACAACTCTAAGGGACTCATACCACAGACGCATTGGAACTCTTTCTTTCTTAGAATTTTTAAACTGAATTTTTGCAAACTTCATACCATACATCTTGATTATATTTAGGCCCCCTCCTACCTGCAACCCATTTGCAACCCTCCCATAGGATTTCATGTGTTCTGTCATATGTTAAGGTTTACCAAGCCCTGTTTGTGTCCCCAAATATCCCTCGGTATGAATCCATCCACTGGAGTCCAATCAGCCTATTTAGAGTCACTCCATTAAAGCCCAATTCTCCCTCCAAAGCAACTCACTTTAACGGCAATAACAACAACACCATCTACTAAGTCCCAGTGATGTGCCAGGCCTTGTTCTAATGCTCTAACTTTGCTGCCTTAAATGGAAGGTGTTATGGCATCATCCTCATTTCAGCTGGAAAGTCAAAGTCAGTAAGGTGAAATGACTGTGAGTGGCAGAGCTGGGATTCTAAACTGCATTCATGTTATGACATGGCTGCTCTGAGTCTGACCCAATCTCAGGACACATATGCTCATATTTGTTATACTCTAGAAAGATGAGGCTCTCTAATCTGATCATTCTAAGGCACACCTCCTGCTAATATGGGGGAGGCCACAGCAGGGCACAGGGATCACCCAATGTCAATAGTCCTGGGCCTCCTCTCCAAGATTCTGCTTTATTGGTTCTGGGTGTGGCCTAGGCATCAGGATGGTTTAATTCCCTAGACAATTCCAACTCAGAGATAAGTTCGAAAACCCCTGCCAGCTGGTGGAAGAAAGCAGCTGCCTGGCCCCACCACCAGCAGGCGTGTAGCTGTGCGAGCCTTTGCCCAGCTCGGAGCTGCAGTTCCCCTATCAACGAAGTGGGAGACGTGGGTTTCATTTCAAAGTTCAGTCTTCTGGCACAGAACACCTACGATTTTAACAAATTCAATGCAACCACAATGTATTCAGTTTGATTTTGGTAGCACACACACCAGAACACAATCTTATGCTCCCTAGAAGAGAAGCAGCCAGAAAGTGGTAGGGAGAGCCAGTAAATCACTGGATCCTCTCTGCTTCCAGAATGTTTAGCAATCCTACAGCCTCAAAATTTGTTCTCATTTTTGGCTCTTACCAACTTGAAAACCACTTACTAATGTTAATCATTTTTTAAAACAATAGTTTTGAGGGCTGGGCTTGGTGATGCACAGCTTTAATGACAGCACTCAGGAAGCAGAGACAGGTGGATATCTGTGAGTTCAAAGCCAGCTTGGTCTACATAGTGAGTTCCAGGACAGCTGGGGCTACAGGGAGACCCTGTCTCAAAAAGACCAAAAAAAAATAGTTTTGAGTTTGATATTGTCATTTATGTTGAGCTTCTGCAGAGTCTGTGAAGGGGGGAAATGGCCTCTGTGAAATGGAGGGGAGGCAGCTCCAATGAGCTGAACTTTCCAAGGGAGGTGAGAAGGCTCTGCCAAAGGTGCTTTTTTTTCATAAAGACCTGCAGGTCCTCGCCAAGGCATGGTCAAGAGATGTCTTGGGAGAGATCCTGGCCAGAGAGATAGCACACACACACACACACACACACACACACACACACACACAAACTGATGACAGAATGCAAGAAAGACTGCTTGAAATGATTAAAGATCCTCTGCTGAAGCTTAGTTTGGGAGGGAAGGCAGGCATAGAGATGTGCTGGTGAGTCAGCAGCATCATCTTTACCAGTGACTGAAGTTTTCAAATATACATAAAAACGCAGCTGACTATCATTAGTGAATAAACATTTCATCTGCTACATCTAACGTCAGCTTCTTTTCTTTTTTTTTTTTTCAAGCAAATGATCATTCAGACTGCAGGAGACCAGATAACCAGACCCGTTCTTAGGTGAGAGGTGACAGCCACTAGGCCAATTTTCTAGAAGGAAAGGAGGCATATTTTTTTGAGGACCTATAATGAACTTAACTTCTTTAATCCTTATAATGGTCTTAAGAAATGGAAGTAGAGAGAAACTGCTATTCTTATTTTACAAATGTGAACAGAGAGTCAGGGGGACTAAATTACTTTTCCCAAGACAATTTTAAAATCAAGATTCAATTCCAGATCTGGGTGTCCCAACTCATGGTCCCTTGACTTGCTCTACTGCTGCCTAAGTGCCATGGCTGAAAAGAGCATACCCAACACAGCAAGGCTTGGTTATTACAGGTTTCCTTTTGAGTCTTCTACACCTGCAGGCCATGTCCTGTGCCAGCCCCGGTGCAGCGCAGCACCATAGACAGGGAACCTGGACAAAAGCCTGACTGACTAGCTTTCTTGCCAGCTGTTGCTCCCCTCAGTCCACTCTTTAATCACTGACATTCACTTCCCTGAAACACTGCTTTCCTCCTTTGACTAGATGACATCAGCAGTGTTCAGCTCTGTGTTTTTGATGCCAACACTTTGGGATTTTGAGTGGCTCCCTATTTCCTATCACATCATCTCTAGCTTTCTCAGCCTGGCTTTAAAGTCTCCTAAGAACCCGTCTCCATGCTATCATTGAACCACTAAGTCCATCCCTCTTCTTTCTAGTTCTACAGCACAGAGGACGGGCTCTGGGCTACCAGCCCTGGGTGGGTACCCTGTCTCTTCCATCTGTTAGCTGGTTAATACGGGAAGTTACTGTCATCCTCTAGTTCACAGAGTTGTTTTAAGGATGAAATGAGATGAGCTAAATGTGAGGAGAGCACACTACACACCCTTGGTCTTCTTTCCCCACCTGCATCTCTGCTCGTGCAGGAAAGAATGTGTTCCCTTCTGCCATCACACATTGCTCATCTTTCCAGCCTCAGTCCACAGTCTAGGAAATGTTGACTAACTGCTACAGGGATAAGCTCTATCCCTTCTGAAATACTAGCTCACTACAGCCATTACCACATGATTCAGTCCGGCCAGCTGCAGCACATTTCAGTGGGTGGAGGTCAAGACATAGCTTTTGCTCCCCCTACAAAAGTGATCAAGACTAGTCTGAACTTAAAAAAGTACTTAACTGATGTACATGTAACATGTGTACATTCCACCTGTGTACAATGTCAGTGCCACAACATAGAGAAGAAATGGTCCCTTGGCCTCAGGAAAGACCAATCACAGGTTCATACTGAACACCTAAAACAAGGGCTCTGGAGGTTAACACACTCTCAGCTACTAGAGCAATGTGCAGCTCTCGGGCACAGCAGGATGGATGGAAGAGCACTGACCTAGGAAACAGAGGAGTGCTGGCTCCCAGTTCCCACCTGCCTATAGTTCCCACCTGCCTCTAACCTGTTACATAACTGTAGCTGAGGGGCTGGAAAGATGGCTCAGTACGTAAGAGCACTGGCTGCTCTTGGAGAGGACCTGGGTTCAGTTCTCAGCACCCACATGGGGACTAACAACTGTCTATAATTCCAGTTCCAGGGAAATCCGACAGCCTCTTCTGACCTCTGTGGGAAATGCATGACACGGGTGCATCTACATACATGTAGGCAATACAGTCATACACAAAAAATTTAAAAAATATAATAAATAAAACATTTTAAAAGACCTATAGCTGAGTTCCTTCTTTGGATGTGATTCCCCTTCACACTATGTGTAAGTCAGACTGTTCAATGGTCTTTTCAGCTTTATAATCCCAAGAGTTTTTAAAATTACAAAAAAACCATCAAAAGCAATGAACTTTATCGTAATTAGAATTAGGGCTATGTGGCAAGCCCCACTCATGCAAACCATGGTAAAATTTGATCAAAACGTTAGCTTTCCTTGTCAGGGGAGGTTATGAAAACCATCATATCTGGTAGGATGGAACCTCAAAGAATTTCTTTGTGAAATATTTTATAGGGAAATGTGGGTCTCTCCCTCCCCTCGTGGGTCGTTGGCCACCCGTCCACGAGGACAAAGGGAGCAGAAGTGATGAACAGGGTCAGGACAGCCAGTGAGCACTGACGGAAGAAAGCCCTTCCGGGGAGGCAGGTTCAGTGATACAGTTCCATTTATTCAGTGGGGGTCAGGGAAAATATATTGTGGAGGCAGTAGCCAAAGCTTCAGCTGATAGGTGCTCACAGTATGCTTTATTTACATGTGGTAGGGGGATCCTATCATCCGACTATAGGGCAATGCCTAATTATCATATAGAAAAAACCTGGGGGCAGTTTTATTGCAGGTAACTATGCCAAAGGTCATGTTCTGAATAAGGTCAGGCATCTGTGCTTGGAGGCACTTTCCAGGTAAGTCAGGCAGGAAGCCCCTGCTGAGAAAGGAGCTGACCTTAACAGCAGGGTTCCCCAACAGGGAAATACTTATTTCCTAGGAGGAAATGAATCCCATTCCAGTGTTCTAGGACTTGCAGAGATCCTCTATTCATACAAGAAGGAAGGGCCAGACAAGACAGGAAGGCCAAGAACAGTAAGGGCAACTACTGGGATATGGCACCTACTGCCCTGGGAAACTATCATCCATTTCCAGGTGTCTTCCTCCTTTTCCTCCCCCTTGACAGAACTCGCTGCCTGACTACACATTAATTGCAAAGAAAAACCAGGTGAGTTTTACAGCAGCATGCTGGTTAAAAAACAAAAGAGGCATTTTCAAGATCTATTGTTTAATGCATGTGTGAAAAATGAAACAAGGTTTGTGAGACCTATCTGGGGAGGGGATAAGAATTCTCCTTTTGTAACAGAGCTCAGAACTGCCTGTCAGCCTTCAAAGCAAGAAAGAAAAAGATTTCTTTTGGAAGCTACTTTAAGAAAAACTCTCTGGTCACTCCACAATGTGGCCATGATGAAAAGGAAATCCACAGACAGAATTGTTCTCCCATTCTGTGTTCAACTGGGCAAGTTCAGCAAACTTAGATAGATACTGAGAAAGGCCTATGGAAATCACCAATCTGACCTGCTTTTTACAAATAAGGACACTGAGGCTCAGAAGGACCGAGGACCTGCCCGAGGTCACATGGAATAGAGCTATGCCTATAAACTCAGGCTTCAGTTTCCAACCATCCCTCCTCTGCAAAGCTCACTGAGACAAAGCCTGTAGAGTGGAGCAGAAGCAAGGCTCACAGCCTGGCCCATCAGTTCTGATCCCACAGAGGAGAGTGTTTGGTGGGAGACGCAGGGCATAACAGTACATCCAAGAGAGCCCTGAAGATGAGTAAGTTTCATTTTCTTGGCTTGACAATATTTGCTTTGGTTCAGGCCAATCAGTTGTGGGGATATATCTTGACAAACCCAACCCAAACAACCTGTTCTTTCTCACTAATCCACAAGGGAATGATTTCAGATAAACAGAGACCTCTTGAAGCACATGGCAAGATAAATGAACTGACACAGATGACTTTGGGGACAAGGGGAGGTGAGAATGGAACCTGTGCAGCGGGGCAGAGAATATAACACTTAATCTAGTTTTTACCAGAGCCTGAACAAAGGACTCTGACAGACTTCTTCAGAGATGAATTCACCTGGATGTTAGGAAGACGTTAGAACAGTTTTCTCACTGCCCTGTCCCACACCACGTGACTTCATGACTTCCTAAGGTCACCCCTTTACTTTTCATCCCTGTAGCTATATAATTACTACTAGGGTTTTTGTTTTCTTTCTTGATCTGTTTTCAGGGGTCACACAAGAAAATCTGAGGAGTTACCTACGGTCTTAGGGTTGTAGGCTAATGACCTCTGAATACACAGCCCACAAGTGACTTAGGAAGAAGGACCATGTCTCATTTTCCCTTGTATCCCCAGGATACAGCAGGGACCTGGGGATATATACTTTAACGAATATACATTTAGCTGCTATCTGTAAACTGCGTATTTCATTTCGAGTTACCCTTATACACTCTAGGCATCCAGTTTCACAGGAAGTTAGGACCAGTCTCATCAAACTATCATGGGAATTCTTTTAAAAAATATTTCTCATTAATAAGTTATTTTAAAAGTTCAGGTTAGTTTCAGTTATTTTGGCATGATAATTTTTAAAGAAGAAGACAAAAAAGTACCAGCAAACCTACACTAGTCACAGACCATAAATTCTACAAATAGTCACTCAGGTCTAGGCTGGGAGGCCAGCCAGCCATGCTGGGTTTCAGAAAGCTCCCACCACACTTGCCATCTTTCCCCTGACTAGCAAACACTTTCAGGGAATGGGTATTGAGCTTCAAACACTACCTTGCCATTGTCTAGGATATACTTGTCCATGGCAGGCGCAGGAGCGGGGTAATAGGACGACGTATTTGCTTCCTCACTGAAAGTGCTTCGTAACTCCGGCTCGGGCTCGAGACATTCTGACTTTACTTTTTCCAAGTCAATGGCGGGACCTAGGCAGTTAAGAAAAGAGATCTGTCTAGAACTCCAAGGAAAATAAAGACAAAATATTTTTAACTATGCATCTATCAGCACACAGTGGCACCAAAAAAAAAAAAAAAAAGAAAAAAAAAAGCTGGCTTATTTTGTCTATTATACTATACTTAAACCCAGGTTCAAATGTAGTACAGAGAATGAACATCAAAAGGGGAAAGGTGAAATTAGAAGGCAAGAATGAACTAGTCTCTTATGAATGAATGAATGAATTTGTTTGAATGAAAAACTCTTCTGGGGCGTCATTGTCTATGGAAAATGGCAGGAGACTGGACTTCCTGCACAGGAAGGGTTTTGCAGCAGACTGCTGGAGAGGGGGTGGTAATTACTGTAATATGCAAATTGTGTACTTGACAAAAAACTCATCTCTATGATGGATAGGGCCACAGTGGAAGAGAGGAAATGAGGGAAGCCATGGGAGAAATACAAACGACGACTCCTCCCGTGGACCTAGTATCTAAGCAAAGGCATTCCAACCAAGAAATTAAAATACAATACAGATTAAGCTCCCGATTGCCTGATTTAGCAGCCACTTGCATTTTTATTTTAATGTAATAAACACAAATTATGAGAGATTTAAACAGTGGAAGGAAGCTAGGTAAATGGTTATAGTTTTGAAGGGTTTTTCTTCCCCCTTCTATTAACTTTTTAAAAATGGCAGACTATTTTTTTAAATCTCTTATTGTATTTTGATTACCAAAGAGCAGAGAAAATGGGTAAATAAAGCCAAATGACTTGATTAATTTTGAGAGAAAAACTCCAAAAGCCTATAAATTTTTGAATGCTGGACTGAAACCAGGACACGTTGCCCTGCGTATAATTTAAGTACTGGTGAATTCAGGGTCCAACATCCTATCCTAGCCACATGGACAACTGGGTATAAAGCTTGACATAGTCCATCCTTGTGCAATGTTGCTACACTCTAGGTTTTGGCTGACAGGAGATCTTGGTAAACTTGTCAGTAGAAGTCTTCACAACTGGGCTTCCCAGAACATCAGTTCTGAACTGCTGGCAGCTGCCAACTGCAAGGCAGACTCTCTGTAGTCTCCAGAGACTTAAGCATAAACTTTGCACAAAGCTAAATGCAAAATGGTCAGGGGGCAGAAGGGCGCAGCTAGAAGAGCTGACATCGTCTTGGTACAGAGCTTTCAATTCCCACTCTTGGCTCTGCCATGTTTTAATTGCATGTCTAGGTGAATGAGCTGCAGATGAAGAAGCTGGCAGAGTGAAGGGCAGATATCATCCTGATCTTTCTGATAGTATCTCCCAGTAGTATGCCCCTTATTCAAAGTCTGGGCCTAGGTCTTGTTTTTCCCTTTATCACCAGAACCTGGTACTGAGTATTCTCCAAATGTTTGCTAAATTAGACAAACAAAAAGAATGATAATAAAGAATGAATAATTCTAAAATTTCAGAAGCACATACCAAAGTTTCTCCTCTATATATGTGAATTTCTGAGGTATAAACAAGTGAAACTTCACTTTCCCTTAGAGGTAGAATGAACTGATGACTGAGGTCTCTTTCTGTTCTGATGATCAATGACAGGAAGAAGGAATGGTCTGAGAAGAAGGCCATGCAGCCACAGCTCTCAGGTCATCTTTGGAAAGGTCTTGTCTCTCCTTTAAAGTCTCCTTTTCCTTTCAGGAGAGACTGTCAGACAAAAGAAAGAATCTAACCGGGTTCAGTGGCTTACATTGTAATCTCAGCATTCACACTTGGGAGGATCAGGAATTCAATGGAAGCCTCAGCTGCAGAGTAAGTTTAAAACCAGCCGGGACTACGTGAGACCTTGCCTCAAAAAACCAAAACCAAAACCAAAAATACCTCAACACCACCACCACCACCACCACCACCACCACCACCACCACCACCACTGGAACCATAGTGCCTGCCAAAGACGGTTTCCCCATGACCATGATTTTGTCCCTCTTTTCTTAGGCTCCCTCTTATCCTCAATATTACGTCCCATACCACAGCCTCCTGAAGGTCCAGGACAACCCACCTCTTCTACTTTTAGGACTTACATATTGCTCAGTGTCCAGGTTCCTCAAGTGTGTCTGCCATCATGTAAGTCTTGAAGGTTGCCTGTCTGCCCAGCTCTCTGTCAGATTCTTCCTCTGACATCTTGCTCCCCAGTAGAGGCCTCTACATTCTAATTGGCAAGCTGTGCTTGCAATCATCCACCCATCTGTCTGTTTTCAATACTACACTGTGAAGCTCTTCAAGAACCAAGTTTTACTCCACTTGCAATTGTGGCGCCTGGGGTAGTAGCTGTCACATGGAAGGTTCTTAGGAAATTCTTCATGACATGAGAGGGCAGAGAGGACTAGGAGGTCAGATTCTGAATGAAGGCTTTCCTGTACAGATGTTTGGGGAAGAAGTGTGGGCTGAAAGGAATGTCTATAACCTTTCTTAAAGTCCAAGAAGTAGAAATCAGGATCAAGTAAACATCAAAACCATCTAGTCAGAATGGATAGTTCAGGTGGCTATAGTTATAGACAAAGGACTCTGTGACCACACTGTGAAAAGACTGGAAGAACAGGATTGAGTGCCATTTCTCTAGCTCTGTGTCCTGTTAGTACCCTCCCTAGAGACTCCATTCTAGTCAGGTGGCCTCCTAGGTGCGCGCGCGTGCGCGCGCACACACACACCCCCTTTTCTTTGGCCTCAGAAGCTGTACTTGAGTTGTCTCTTTTGTCCAAACCCCAAGGGTGACCCAAAGCCTGACTCAAATGCCACCTCCTCCATAAGACTGCCCTGATCCTTCAAAAATAAATAAGTACTCCACCCCAGCTCAGGATCTGTAGTCAGAGACAATGGGGTTTTAGACACTAGTTGTGCATGTTTAGTAGGAGGGCTGTGACTCCAGTAGAAGTGCTCTATCCTTCTTTGTAATCTCCCAGACCCCAACACCACTCTACAGATACATCTGGTGACACAACTAGGCTGTGAGGCTGAGCACAGGTAGAGGCTCTCTTTTTCTGTGTGTATTTTTAAGACAGGGTCTCCCTGTAGTCCCAGCTGACCTGAACTCACTATGTAGACCAGGCTGGCCTTGAACTCACAAAGATCCACCTGCCTCTGCCTCTCAAGTGCTGAGACTAAAGGCGTGCACCACCACTCCCAGAGGGGCTATCTTTTTTAAGTCAGAGACCAGCACTCACCCAACACCTAGTGAAATTCTAGCCCCAAGAGATAAATTTATACATAAACAGTTTCTTAACCTCACTGACCTAGCCTTACCTGAAGGGAGGAATGACATCAGCAACTTGACAGTATTGAAAATTGAATGAGTTAAATACATATATAAAGTAATTACTTCAGGGTGTCTGGTGCAGAGGGGTACTCAGTAAATCAGCTCCCCACTACCCAGTCCCACATACATACTTTGTTTACTTCTGTCACTGCTAAACTGTGGGCTCTCTGAGTATATTCTTAGTACTTACACAGATCCTATCTATATACAGAGAAAGGCCTATGCTCATGCTGATCTCCTCAGGGACCATCAGAGAGCTCTGTCAAACAATGATGCTACTGTATTAGGATCTCTGGCTCGAGGAAAAGTATTTCTTAACATCTTCAGTCAGAATCATTCAATCCCTGGTGGCAGCTCTCTGCAAAAGCCTCCTTTCCCCAGCATACTGAATACACAAGGTACCAATCAGTACCTCAGCCTCACAAGGGAAACAGTGAGAAAAACCAGCCAAATGTATATCTTGAAAGAATTTTTCAGCAGACTTGGGTGTGACTACACAGTAAATGACCTTAGAAAAGTTACTTCACCTCTCTGTACCTCAGCCTTCCTATTTACAAATGGGGACTACTAAGAGCCACCATGCAGGTTGACAGTGACTCTGGAACAGTCCAGGACCAAGGCATGTACAGGACAGAGGCTCATAAAATGGCAGATGAATGAATCAGTCAATAAGGAACGTGTTGAGTATTATAGAATCATGAAGAATAGTACCAAAAAAAAAAAAAAGTACAAAAACAAAAACCCAAACCTATGTGGTTTCCTTGGAGAGAGGAAGGAGGGCCTCTAGTGCTTTTAATTAAGTAGTGAGGGATCTCTTGGTTACAGATTTTAGTCACTCCACTCCCCATGCTGGCAATTTACATCTCATTACAAATGCTTCAGATTGCTGTTTTGCTTTTAAAAATTTCTGAGGCATTCTTCTCTTTTAAACACATGTGACTAAATTAGCCACAATAATAAGTACTCACACTACAAGACAACACTGTACATTCTGGTGCAGTTATTTTAGGTAACAAAGGACTTTTTTCACTTTGTGGGAAGAGTAGGAATAGAAAGAAAGGCCTTTTGATCCATTCTGGTACTGACACACACTTGAAGTTTATTTTGAGGGAAATACACCTTCCGTGGAGAGAAATCTCTCTGCCAAGCAAAGAAAACTTTTAAAAGAGCATAAAAGGCAGCGCCTGTCTCCTCCCTCAAACTCACTCAGTGAGTGAGCTCTGTAAGAGACACTGAGGATTCAGGGACAGAGTATGCCCCAGCTCTGGAGAAGTTCACAATACATGTGGAACACTATTATGTCACACACAGAGGGCTGTGATTTGATGGATGCACAATGGATTTAGTGTTCATGAAAACATGGTCCAAATCTTGGTTATATCCTTTACCTCTTTAGGCTGCAGTAGCTTCTCCCATAAAATCAGGATCACACCAGAGTGGAACTAGTTCTATTTGTTAGCACACAAAGAGATGAAATGACACTATGCATTATTTTTATCTGCCATTAGATTAATACAGTTCTTTAAAGAAAAGCTTTCTGTAAAGTTGCTACTTTATGCTTTATTTTCTAAGTTTAGAAATCAATTGTGTCTTCAATATAAATGTTTGGACGGACAGTTGTTAGCTGCATGTGAGTGCTGGGATTTGAACCCGGGTCTTCTGCAAGAACAACCAGTGTCTGAACCGCTGTGCCATCTCTCCAGA